TTCATCGGGCATCCGGTGTGCTCGGAGGAGGACGGTGGATGGCGGTTCCGTCCCGAGAAGCACAAGAGCGCGTCGCGCGGTCGTGGGTCGCGCAAAAGTCATACGCCGTCACCACACACTGAAGAGGGCGGTGTGACGCCGGACACTAGCGCCAAGGACCTTCCTTCGTCCGGGACGTGGCTGCAGACGTTCCACCTGGTGATGGTGCTAGACTTACCAGATCCGTCGTCATCTGCGTCTGGGAACATTGCGAAGTACGTGGACACGATCTACGAGCAGATGATATTTGCGACGACGGCGGTGATGTACCAGGAGCAGGTGGTACACAACTTTGTAGAGATGGAGTGTGACAAGCTGGGTGCTCTTAAGGACGATTATGTGAAGCAAGGTGGGCATACAGTCAGTTGCCTGACCCAGACAGCCGAGCCAATGACATCACAGGCCAGACAATCTCGACGTATCTTGACGACGCGCTGAAAGTTTCGTCAATCGCATCGGCAACGAAGACACTGTACGACTCGATCAAAGACGGCACGATCGCACAACTGACGATTCATGAGTTTCATTTGGAACTGCAGCTTCCGCCACACCTGGACAGGCTGCTGCACAATGAGGATGGACTGGAAAATGACTGCGCTGACCGCGAGGGCGAGGACGAAGACGAGTACGGGGCGGCGGCATGGGGTCCTGAGATGAGTTTTGCGTGGCGGCTGCCGACGCTTGCACCGTGGAAAAGTCTTCTTCGGCTGGACGACGAGACTGAGCCCGAGCTATACATGAAACTCCGGGGGCCGCAGCTGAGCTATGAAGACCGCGAAGTCGGCGAGCAGCTTGTCAAGTTCCTGGATATGGCATCGGTGACGCTGACGCTGGCAGACATGGCGAGTTTGCTTGACTGGGACCTGGAGACCCAGGTGTTCCCCACTGTTCGATGGCTGGTGCATCATCGGAGAGCGAAGATTGTGGATGTGGTGCATGTTGGTCTGAAGACGGTGTTCACACTGCCACAGAAGCTACCGGCACCGTAAGTGGCTATATGCTATCATCTCGAGGTTTACTCACCGTGCAGCAGACTCGCCGATCTCTCCGCCGAGTTCTCGAGAACATTCACACACCCGTCGATCCCACCGCTGCCGAAGCTGCTCTCACAGATCTCGACGAACAGCAACACACACTTCTACGGGGCCGTCGTAGGCAGCCGGGACCTGGTGGGGTCGTTCCACGAGGTGGTGCTGTGGCTGCTGAAGCGAGACCTGGTGGTGACGCTGCACCTGCGCGTGCGGATCATCGCTACAGTTGAGCTGAAGGAGAAGGTCAGGATTGAAAAGGAGCTGGCGCGTGGGCGGCGGGAGCGCCTGCGACGACAGTCGCTGAGCATGCACGGGGCGCGGCTTGGGGGAACGGCGGCGACCGACGTGGTGGGGCGCGGCCGGAGTGCGAGCACGAACGAAGGCGATGGCGGCGCGAATTCGAGTATTCCCGAGGCGGACTCGAGCCCGGTCGACTACTGGATGTCGATGAGCCCGAAGAGTGCTCGGCGCCAGGCGCGCCAGACGTCGCCGGCGGCGGCCGGCCAGGCTCACCATCGCCGCGACCGGGGCCTGTCGGTGCTGTACAGTCTCGGGGAGATGCGTGCGGAGGGGAAGGAGGCTGAGGAGGAGGCGGTGGTGTTGCTGCTCGACGACGACCTGCTCGAGGTCGGCTCGGTGGATGCGGACGAGGGTTGGGTGCAGGCGTGGGACGAGGCTCGGCCATCGATGATTGCTGATCCTGCACGGGCGACGCCGGTCGAGAGGCAATGGCTGGCGGCGATGTCGGAGGGGAAGGATCCGCACATTGCCAGGCGATTTGAGCAGTGAGTATTCAGGCGCATCCGGGTCTGCTGCGAGTTTAACGGATCGTCCGATTAGGATCAACCAATACTTTGACGGGAAGTGCAGCGACGATGAGATTCTGCATAAGGCAGACATATCTCGGAGGCACCTGCGAGAGGTGTTGCATCATTATGACGAATACGTGAGTGGCATTCT